CTACATAACTCGAATGAACTATATTGTGATTGACTTATTCACAAGTGAATAACAAACATTTTATAATAAACTAATTCTAATTTCTAAACGAAAACCTAATTCTAACAGACTCAGTCTAAATCCTAAACCTAGTTATTTTTTGGTTAAATGAGGGAGATATTATTGATAACTAAAAAAGAAGTTACACCTAGTCAAGGAGAACATAAACTTTACCCATCATAAAACAGAGATAATAAATAACAATACAAGAAAAAGAGGTGGCTTAGGTGGTAGCGATGGTGTGGGAAGAAGAGGTGGTCGAGTGTTGGTCGATGAACTGGGGTTAGGCCGAGGAGGATTCCAGTTGGCTTGACGATTTTGATTGGAAGAACGACAATGTCGACCACGGCCATTGCCTTGTCCAAAAGAGTGATGTGAGGAAGATGATCGGTGACTATTGTGGGCAGAATGAGACAAACCAGCACGGCGACGAGAGGCAGCAAAAGCAGCATTACTGGACAAGGAGAGAGTTGACATCTTTTATATGAGATGTTCTTCTTGAAGAAGCAGGTCGTAGCAGTCATCGTAAGAGAGAGGAGATCGAAGATGAGCGGCTGTGGTAAACTCTTTATATTTAGGACCAAGATCCTCCAAGAGGCTTTCAATGAGGTCTTCGTCAGAAATGATGGAGCCAGCAGCGGTAAGTGAATTTGCAAGGCTTTTGGCATGCAGCAAATAGTCAAACATGGACTTCTCTAAATCCTTTTTAAGAGTACGGAGTTGTTCATGAAGGGTGCGAATGTGAGTCTTAGAGACAGGAGACAAACGCTTTTCGAGAAGAGACCAAGCGTCGAAGGCGTAGGTGCAAGGAAGCAGTATAGAGCGGATAGATGGTGAGCAAGTAGACTTGATCCAACTGAGGACAAGTTTGTCTCGAGAATAATTCGGATTAAGAGATCCATCATCAAGCTTCTTTGGAGGTTTGGTATTGATGGTCACGACATCTTCCAGACCATGAATTTCAAGAATGTCGGAAAATTGGGATCGCCAACTGAGATAATTATTTCTGTCCATGGGAGTATTGATGGTGTGGGAGATGTTGAAGGTGGTGGGAAGGGAAGCAATAGATGCGGCCATGGGTGAAGAATGAGAGGATCAGAAGAGGAAATGGAGATTGGGGTGGCGGGGGCATATAGAGGATCGAACGTTGGGAAGCGTTAGCTTGTGAGAAAGGATGATACCATATAGAGAAATAGATAGTGACAGATAGAGAAGAGTAAGGAGAAGCAGTTTGTATTACGAAATCAATTTCTTGATCTGCTGATCATATTGATACAAGATATATACAAGCCTATAGTTGACTTTGTGCAACATAAAAGGTAACTAATAACTCTTGATTATTTACATAAACAATATGGAGAGAATGGTGGGATCACGTTTTGACAGCAGATGTGGTGGAGAGATTTGTGGTGGATTCAATACTCTCGTCAGGTATGTCAGACACGGCGGTGCGGTTTGTCAGATTGCGAGCAGGCTGTGGTGGTGAGATGCAAATTTTAACCGAGAACAAACAAAACAATGAAAAATATGACGATAGACAAACTGATGCGAGACAAATGCAGGGTAAACCCAAATCCCAAAAAAAAGCCGAGACAGCTACATAACTCGAATGAACTATATTGTGATTGACTTATTCACAAGTGAATAACAAACATTTTATAATAAACTATGTCTAATTTCTAAACGAAAACCTAATTCTAACAGACTCAGTCTAAATCCTAAATCTAGTTTTTTTTTGGTTAAATGAGTGAGATATTATTGATAACTAAAAAAGAAGTTACACCTAGTCAAGGAGAACATAAACTTTACCCATCATAAAACAGAGATAATACATAACAATACAAGAAAAAGAAGGGGGACAGAAGCCTTGCCTTCTAGAAACGAAAATAAGAATGATACAAAGAAAAGAGGGTGGGGACATGAAACCTAACCCTTTTAAAGCCAAACCTAAAGGTCTAAACTTGCAAAACAAGCTGAGCAATAGCACAAAGTTAGGAAAAAAAATAAGAAAGTAAGACAAACTTGGATGCCGAGATGCACATTAATTTGAGAAGCGGTAGCCAGGCAAGCCAACATAGTCTGAAAACACTTTAGCACGAGCTGTCGGCGGAGGAGAATTATGCCAAGTTAAAGTTGGAGAAGACAAGCCCATGCTAGCAAAATTGTTCACAACAAAATTTCCTTCTCAATATATGTGAGATGCGTAGAAAGTCATTTTCCGAATGTGGTCCAAACAAATAGGCCATTGCGTACAAAGAGGCCAAGGAGGACCAAAATTAGACAATTGAAAAGCAGAAATAACACTAGAGCTGTCACTTTCAAACCAAAGATAATGCAACCTCATTGATATGCAAACTCTACACCAATAATAATTGCAGATAATTCTGCAAAAAAAAAAAAAAAAAAAACTTGAAAATTCCTCCAAAAGCAGCAGGACCAAGATTTCCTTTAGACAAACCATTTGTATTAAGTTTAATCTAGGGAAAACAAGGAGGAGACTAAAGGACAGAAAGAATAGTAGGCGCGTTGCAAGAGATATGTCGGATTCCCAGCGAAGAGATGATTCGAGTGTCAAAACCCTGACAATAACCAAGAATAAACTTTCCACCATGGACAGTCACATAATTGATAGACATGCAGAGACGATGAAAATAAATTGATCGACCCTAAAAAATAAACTTATTTCGAGCCTTCCAAATAACCGCAACAGTAGAAAGACTTGCAAAAATCCAGAGATTGTGCAACTGTTTGGAAAAAGGCTTATGCACATAAATATCCCAAAAAATATCCAAAAAATCTAAAGATGCAAAGAGGTACCAAATTGGTATGCTAACCACCTCCAAAACTACCTAGATATTCGACAGTCGAAGAAAAGATGAGCAGTAGATTATTCAAATGTGTCAATTAATCTATCAGGGGGATGCAATGGTGCATATTGTAGAGAATTGTTTTCGAATGAGTCAAAGTGTTAAAGTGATTTGTTTTAATGTTCATAGCATCTATGGGGAGAAAGGATTAATTAGGCTTGTATATTATTTGGTTATAATCATATTGGTACGTAAAAGATGAGTAAAAAGATAAGTAGCTGATGCAAATTTGGTTGAGTGTTAAGTTAAAACTTTTAAGTTTTTATTATAATTTTATTGAAGAAAGTTCTAGTGCTGATATCGCGGATATCTGTCATGCATATATATAATTATATACCAATGATGATATATGTCCAATTGATTTTAAATTAAATGTTCACCGTAAAATAACATAAGAATTGGAAAAATGATTTATGGTTTCTACTATATTTTCTCATAATCACACTGCTAATTTTACTATTTTTTCCTTCTTCGGGGTAATGCATATATGCACTCATTTTATTATAACATCCAACATTTCTAAAATTTTGTATACATAGGAGCTCATTCAAGAAATCTATTCGACATACTCTTGCCCTGACTAACAAAAGGTCACCAAATTTTTTGTACTAGTGTTTGATGAACTCTTAAAGGCACCCTACAAACCATATTCGCGGGAGAGATTACTCCCTACTAGTCAAGGTTCTGGATGGGTCCTAGCTCCTAGGCTACTAAGTGGATTTAAATCAATCTATTATATTTTGTGTAAATAAGTGTCTGTTTATACTTAAAATAAATATAATTTCATCATAAACTACAAAATAGAATAACATATATATATATATATTATGAAGTATTGGAACATAATGAAAACATGGAGAACAAACTTATAATTGTGTGTTCATTTAAGTATTCAACAAGTCTCTTACAATTTATTGAAAATAATAAAATTCAAAATGAAAGTTATCTATTTTCTGTCTAAGTGAGTTGCTGTAAGAAGGATAAAAGTGATCCATGTGAGGAAGTTATCCATGGTCAAAACAAAGCCACTTGTCAAAGGATTAAATAGGTGGTTATACATATAGTTGGTTAGTTAGAATATTGTTGGAGTGAATTAGTTGGTATAAGGAGGTAGTTAAAGAAGAGTACTTGGGTTGCAAGTTTGAAAACCTTCTATAGAAGTGACCTATGTAAATCATATGAAGAATCAATGAAGAAAATCATTCTCTACTGATACAATTCTATCTCATCTCTTCTACCTCTCTTCTTAAAACTGATTTCAGCTATTTCAATAGTTGCAACCTAAACGGATGTCTAGGCAGTCTAGGTGGGAATTTTTAGAACAGTGCTACTAATTAATGAAGAAACTAGCAAAAGTTCGGAGATTATGGATCTAACTGGTTGCAACTTTCCCTCTCACAGATCCTTGCTTTCAAATAAGTCAAATTGTTAGAACTTAGAAGTTCTTTTGCTTTAATGGTAACTTGGAGCATTATGGGAAAAAGGCTTAATTAGGCACATTAGTACTAAAAAGATAAGTATTGAGCTCAAACATATTTGGTTAGATTCAACCTGGTATGTAGAAGGCAAGTAAAAATATAAGTTTTAAGTTAAAGCATGTTTGGTTAGGTTCATACTGGTACGTAAAAGACGAGTATTAAGTTAACTCATTCAGCTCTTTATATATTATAGAGCAAATTGGGCTATTATATACCAATGATTGAGAACTTTTTTGCAGGGATTTTCACAAAACAATCATCACTCTACACTCATCCTACATTGCTTGGTGCAACACAAAGAGAGTGATTCACATTTACAAACACAAAGGAGTTAAAATTTTGAACAAGGAAATAATAACCACAAAATAAAACCAAATGTTTGGGTTAATAAATTAAACCTAGGGTATGGTTGTAATAAGTCCAAACCTCGAGGGTGTGAGTTAAACTCTCCCTATTTTTTATATGTTTTAGAATCTCCGAACTTTAGCTAACTGCCGAGTAGAACGAAACGACTGAAAAATAAAAAAATAATCATTTATACAGCGACAAGGACCATATACTTATGTAAGAGTTCATCGAAGATACTTATAAAGAGTAGCAAATACTAAAGCAACCATAGCCCTCTGACTCTGGGCAATCAGGATTCAGAAACTGATCTGCGGCAGCAAATATGGAACTGCCGTTGATGTTCACCAATGGTTTTCTGATATCACCGCCGACCCTTTTCACGGTGTTAGCAATGTTTGCAGGAGTTTTGAGTTACTTGTATGGCCCCTACTGGAAGGTGAGAAGGGTACCTGGCCCACCAGTTATCCCTTTCGTAGGACACCTTCCCTTGCTGGCAAAGTATGGTCCTGATATATTCTCAGTTCTTGCCAAACAGTATGGCCCTATTTTCAGGTTAGTATGCGTATATTGCATATATGTAGCAGATTTGCATTTGCAATCGTCTTTGGGACCAAAATTTATGTCTAATAGTTCGACAAAATATTTCCAAAGAAATTTTATTAAATGGTATACGTTTGAAATTAACTTCATATATATGACTGAAATGTATGGCTCGAATGGAGGTTGGTTGTTAAACATATGACCTCGTAATAAATTGTACATTTTTGTTATGTCACTTTAGTTCTGAATTTGCTAAAGCTGGTGGCGCATCCATATGGCCATGGCATAGCTATTAAGGTTTTGATTCTACACATCTTGGCAGGTTTCATATGGGTAGACAGCCACTAATAATTGTAGCTGATGCAGAGCTTTGTAGAGAAGTAGGAATCAAGAAATTCAAAGATATCCACAACAGAAGCATTCCGTCTCCTATCGCAGCTTCCCCTCTTCATCAGAAGGGTCTCTTTTTCACCAGGTATTTGTTTTATGGGCTAATTACGGCAGCGGTTACATAACTTTATACTCATATTTCACTTTGATCCTTCAGTTCAGTTCGTAAATTTTGTGGTCCTGCAATTGCATCAAGTGATTCTCACTTGTCTTTATGTTACAGTTTCGTCCATACAACCATATATTTGATGGATAAGCAGTTACTTGAGGAATAGTGAATGATATATGGAAAACCCTAACTCCATGAAGTGGAACATAGGTCATCTATTAGTAAATGTCCATAAATGACGGGAAAATGACCAAAGTGAAACATGAATACAAAGTAGAATTTGGGGACCTGTTTTGAATTACCAAAATGAAACATGAATACAAATTAGTGTAGAATTTATATATATATCTGTCAGTTAAATTCATAAAGTTTATCTACAGGGATGCAAGATGGTCGACGATGCGAAACACTATATTATCATTGTATCAGCCATCGCACCTAGCCAGCCTTGTGCCCACAATGCAATCATTCATCGAGTCTGCAACTCAAAAGTTCGACTCGTTTAAAGAGGATGAAGAGATTACCTTTTCTGACCTCTCCCTCAGGTTGGCCACTGATGTAATAGGACAAGCTGCATTTGGTGTCAACTTTGGCCTCTCTAAACCACAATCCATTAGTGAATCAATTGACAAGATTGACAGCAAAGACAGCAACAATGATGATCAAGTCTCGGATTTCATTAACCAACACATATATTCCACTACTCAGCTTAAGATGGATTTATCCGGTTCCTTTTCAATTATACTGGGACTACTTGTTCCTATTCTTCAGGAGCCATTTAGGCAGGTCTTGAAAAGAATTCCCGGGACAATGGACTGGAAAGTTGAGCGTACTAACCGGAAGTTGAGTGGCCGGCTTGATGAGATTGTGGTGAAGAGAATGAAAGACAGTGAACGTGGTTCAAAGGACTTCTTGTCATTCATAATGAATGCGAGGAAATCGGAAATGGTTGCCAAAAACGTCTTCACTCAAGACTACATTAGTGCAGTTGCTTATGAGCATCTCCTAGCTGGATCAGCCACTACATCATTCACATTGTCTTCAATTGTCTACTTGGTTGCCGGACACCCAGATGTCGAAAAGAAGTTGCTGGCGGAAATTGATGGATTTGGACCTCTTGATCAGATGCCAACTGCTCATGATCTTCAATACAAATTTCCTTATATTGATCAGGCATGCATTCGGAATTTCAAAATTAGTGTAGACTTTTGTAAAAGATTTGAAATTCCAAGGGCTTAATTTACTTGATCGTCATGCCTTCATATTGATTTTTCAAATGCAGGTTATTAAAGAGGCAATGAGGTTTTACCTGGTTTCCCCATTAGTTGCAAGAGAAACATCTAGGGAAATTGAAATTGGAGGCTATCTTCTACCAAAGGTATTGCTCTACTTTTCCTATGTAAATTGGAAATGGTTGCATCATTTATGGGACTAATTTTTTTAGAGGAGCAGGGAACTTGGGTGTGGTTAGCACTCGGAGTTTTAGCCAAAGATCCGAACAACTTCCCGGAACCAGACTCGTTCATGCCAGAGAGATTTGATCCAAATTGCAAAGAAGAGAAAGAAAGGCATCCTTATGCTTTTATACCGTTCGGAATCGGGCCTCGAGCATGCATTGGTCAGAAATTTTCACTGCAAGAATTAAAGGTCTCGCTGATTCATTTGTACCGGAAGTATGTATTCAGGCACTCTCCCAACATGGAGAACCCTCTGGCACTCGAGTATGGCATTGTCCTTAATTTCAAGAACGGTGTCAAGGTTAGAGTCGTAAAGCGGTGATCATGCACTGATTAGTCTTCAACACTGCCAGATCAATCATTTTATTCGTACTCATAAATCCTTGTGGAGCAAGATCTGACTGCGGCATCTTTTTGCAATTCCCGCTATCCATGCAGTACCATCATTTGTCCTTTCTTATGCTGTTTGTTGGTGGCATTACTTAGCCTTGGCTGTGTCTTTCTTCTGCTTTGTTTCAATGAAGTTTTATGTAAACATCTTCACTGTAAAGCTTTTAAATTTAATCGTAAATTTGAATCTTATGAGCTAGTAATAACATAAATGCGAGATAATGATCATTTCACTGGAAACAAACAAGTAGATGTCTCACGCTCATAACCATAAACAAAATATTTTACAAATGAACCTCGCATTAAGGACTCTATTTTTTGTTGTGTCACGGGCTCTATAAGTGTCCACTAACTACTATGGCTGTCATGCACTGATATTATTCTCACTTAACCACCCAGACTCAATCTCTTAGGTGGTATCAAGCCCCATGGACCTCAGGTGTGGGATTTTATCTCAAAACAATTCGGTGCAATTAGAAGTGGAACACCTATATTTAAACCTTAGATTATTGTTGTAATTCTCTAATGTGGGATTCTCTTCACATCCATCTTGCCTTGTATTGAGCCAACCTTTTACACCAACAATCTCCACGCTGGCGTGGGCAAAGCCAAGGTAACGCCATACTTTACAACCCACGGGTTCCCAAGAATGGTATGGTTGCCGCACCGGTCACTGCAACTCTACCTCTCCAAGGATTTTTCCTTCAGCCCCTCTAGGAGCCCTTGCTCCACCTAGCTCCTGGTGGACTAGGATTTTCCGAGCCCTACTCTACTAGGGGAAGAGCATTCGGCTCTCCCATGGGAATGGTTGAACATGGATTGAGAGAAAATCAAAAGAGCTAGAGTGAAGTCTCTGGTGAAAGAACTCTTGGGGTAGAGTGAAGATCTTAGAAAAATTATGTGAGTGGGTGTACAAGGAATTTGGGATTGGGTTATGTCGATCTAACTCATGTGTAAATTATACTGTTATTCTCATAGTGAAGAACAATATCTCTCCAGGGATGTCGGCAGGTTCTTGCCAAACCTTGTAAATTTTTTGATGTCTTTATTTCTTGTATTTTATTCTGTACAATTGTGGGTTTGTATTTGGTGAGGGTATAATTTGAATCTCGGTTCCTCACTAACTGAATGGCCCAAAGCACAACATGACCATGTGCCTTCCAACTTGAACCTGTGCACCAAAGCTGATGTAGGCTCTGATACCAATTGTTAAGTCACAGGTTCCATAAGTGTCCACTATTAAGGTTGCCATCCACTGATATTGTCCTCACTTAAGCACCTAGGCCCAATCTCCTGGGTGGTATCAAACCCAATAGATCTCAAGTGTGGAGTTTTATCTTAAAAGACCTTGGTGTAGTTAGAAGTGGAACACCTATATTTAAACCTTAGATTATTGTTGTACTTCTCCAACGTGGGACTCTCTTCACATCCATCTTGGCTTGTATTGAGCCAACATTTTACACGAAAACTGTTTTCTTTGAACAAGAAGAGGGTAAGTAGCTTTAGTTGTCCGATGAAGCCTTGGTGTGTAGTTATGACCGCCTAATCTTACATGTACCTTCCAAGATAGGCGTGGAATGATAGAATAACTAACCATAATAGCCGGCATCTGACAAAGTCATAGCATCCTTTTCCATTGCATTGAACTAGTTTCATAAGTGTTCAATTTTATGGACAAAAAGGTTTTTGGTGGTAATGTGGGCATAAAAGTCAATATTGCTAAAACTTTTGATACTTTAAACATGAATTTTCTGTTCCACGTGCTTTCTAGCTTTGGATTTTCTCGTATTTTTTGTGGATTAGGTGCATGTTTTATTACAATCTACTCGTCTTTTTATTTTGGTAAATGGTACACCACATGGGTTTTTCTCTTGTTCTCAAGGCGTACGTCAAGGAGACCCTCTTTCTCCACTACTTTTTTGTTTAGCAGAGAAAACTTTGAGTAGAAGTTTATCTTTTCTTTTCTCTACTGGATGGATAATAGCTATTTCGGCACCACAGGGTTGTTGCCCTCCAACTTATGTGTTATATGCTGATGATTTTTTTTATTTTTATTTTTATTTTATTTTTTTGATCGTGCATCCGGATAACTTGTTAATACAACTAAGAGTACTTTTTATCTCACATCCACCTTTGCCCATCGTAAAGTGCATGTCTCATGATATCTTAGCTTTCGTATGGGTGTTGTTCCTTTCACTTATCTTAGGGTACCCATTTTTCGTGGTAAGCTAGGGAGAATTCACTTTCAAGTTTTGGTGGATAAGGTTAAAGCTCGTCTTTCAGGTTGGAAAGGTAAACTTCTCTCAGTGGTTGGACAACTCCAATTGGTGTAATCTATTTATCAAAGCTTGTTTCTCCATAGCTTCTCAATTTATCAATTGCCCATTTTTCTTTTTAAAACATCTTTCTGCTTGTGTATGAAATTTTATTTGGTCAAGGGACTTGGCTTCACGAAAGCTAGTAACTGTTGACTAGAGTATGGGGTGTGGACCTAGGCATGAAGGTGGCCCCTGGTCCTCGTTATTTGACTACTTTGAACTTGACAATTTTGATTAGTTTTGGCTGGGATGCTTAACAATCCTCTTCTTTGTGGGGTTCATTCGCTCGTCAACGTTTTCCTCTTGCACCTTATTAAAAATAAGATATCTATTTACGGTCTCCTATGTGGCATAGGCTAAAGCGTGTTTTGCTTATTCTGAATAATAATAGCTATTGGGTTATTGGCAATGGGAAGTAAGTTCCCTTTTGGTTCGACAAATGGTTGGATAGTCCAATTATTGGCCCTTCATTATCTTCGATCATTTCTTCTACAGTTCTTCCTAGGGTTCTAAATGTTATTAAAGCTCAAAGTTGGTATTTGCCAGATTATTTTGTAGATTTATTTCCTTCTGTAGTGCAACATATTCTACGTTTAAATGTAGAAGATGACAAATTGATCTAGGAGCCTCCACTTACTAGGAAATTTTCCTTTTCTTCTGGGTATCATCTCATTCGACGAAAACATAGTGATTGTACTTGGGCTAAGGTTATTTGGCAACATTTTATCCCACCTCGATTGTCTACTTTGGCTTGGCGGCTTCTTCATGATAAACTTCCTACCGAAGGTGCACTTCAACAACGTGGTATTTCTTTGGCATCCATCTGTTGTTTATGTCATAATTCTGAGGAATCTACTGTTCATCTTTTCTTCAGTTGTCAGATATCTAGGCAGTGTTGGAGGTAGTTAGCATGTCAATTTGGTACCTCTTTGTCTTTTTTTTTTTTTTTTTTTTTTTTTTTTTTTAGATTCTCTGGTTGTTTTTTAGGATGCCTACATACATTTTCCCAACAATTGCACAATCTTTGGATTTTTGCGAGTCTTTCTACTATTTCGGCGATTTGGAAAGCTTGAAATAAGTATATTTTTTAGGGTCGCCCAATCTATTCTCGTCATCTTTTAATGTCTATCAATTATGTGATCGTTCATGATAGGAAGTTTATTCCTAGTTATTCTCAAGGTTTTGACACTCATTTCTTCTTTGGGATCCAACCTAGACATGACATTCGTGTCGTGTTTATCGTGTTTGTGTCATTTTCGTGTCATACCCGATAGCTGAATGGGTCGTGTCGTCTAACACCCATTTAAATAAACGGGTAATATGACTTGACCCGAAATTGACCCGTTAATATTATCAGGTAATATGACTCGTTACCCGTTACCTGTTAAGAAAAATATATTTTAAATCAATAAATAATGAAAATGAAAAACGTAATTTGACCAAAAAAAATGTAAAATATAATACTAAATTAGTATATACTATAGATCTAAATTTAATCGTTCATTGTCGTTTATATTTACGCTCAATTCTTCTCACCAAATTTTTTTTTTTTTTTTTTAAATTTTCTTTTTTGAAAACGTGATTTCTTAGAAGATGCCGAAAGATGAATGGTTCTGATCGTTGATATTACGTTCAGAGTTTTACCATTAGTGAAAATATAGTTCAAAGTTTATAAAGTCTCTAGAAACTATATAACATCAACTCATATTTTAGTTAACATAATTATCGGAATGTCATATCAACGATCCGAATCGTTCTTTTTTATACATCTGCTAAAAGATCACTTTTCAAAAAATAAAATCTAAAAAATGAAATTCGATGAGTAGAATAAAGTGTAAACAACAATGGACGGTTAAATTTAAATCTAAGGTTTATGGATTATGGTGTCATTACGAGAATTGTAAACGACAATGGATTTCGGAGTTAACCCCTTCACGAAAGATGTAAAGTTTGTCCTTGCGAGTGATTGTATACTTTTTTTACATTTGTCACACTTCTACAATAATTATTATTAATTTTGCACTCAAATATAAATAAATAAATAAATAAATAAAAACACACACACACACACACTATTCTTGAGATTTGGAGGGTTTTAAAAATCTAAATGACCATGTAACCATCGTCTAAGCGTAGAGGATGCAATCACGAGCATTTATATATGCTTTCACATTTTTCAGACTTATATATTAATGATTATGAATTTATTATTTTGAACTCCCTTAAAAATACTATTCACGAGGGTTTGTATGGTTTTAAAAATTAAAACGACGAAGTACCCATCCTCTACGCTTTTCTCAAAGCGTAGAGGATGCGATTACGAGCATTTGCATATTTTTTCACATTTTTCACAGGTTACCCGCGTGTCACTCTCGTGTAAACCTGTTAAGCACCCGTTATTAGCAAGTTCTTATTATGTGACCTACTTGGTTATCATGTCGACCTGAAACCCATTTTTTTCGTATTGTTTATGTGTTGTATTGACGGGCCGTGTAAGAATTACCAGGTCTAATCTAGCCTATCCATCGCAAGGTGCCAACTATTCTTCTTGTGCTTTGGTCTTCTCCTTCCTTGGATTAAACTTAATACAGATGGCTTGTCCAAAGGAAATCCTAGTCCTGTTGCTTGTGGAAGAGTTTTCAAGGACTGCCATGGTCAATTTCTTGGTGGCTTCTGCTAAGGGATAAGTCATCACAATGCTTTTTTTGTTGAATTATCAATAATTATTATTGGTGTAGAGGTTGCATATCAACGGGGTTGGCATTGGCTTTGGTTGGAAATTGACTCTTCTAGTGTTATTTCTGCTTTCCAATCAATTGATTTTGATCCTCCTTGGTCTCTTCGTACACAATGGTCTATTTATTTGGACTGTAT